GCAGGCTTCCCACAGAGCAGGGAGCCCAATGCGGGGCTCGATCCCAGGACCCTGGGATCATGACCTGAGCCGAAGGCAGATGCTCAACTGACTGAGCCACCCAGGCGCCCCTAGAACCTGTGTTCTTAACCCTGACATTGTTTGAAGCTGTTGACAACTTCCTAGAAAGACACTCAGAAAGGTGAGGCATGGTGTGTGACCCTTGTCACATGCACCCATGCTTCTTAGACCCCTGGGCCTTTTTCAAGGTTATTTAGGTTGGAGAACCCAGTCTCTGGGGTTCTGACATGACAGTGGGGCTATCTACTTTCTCTACTAACACTTTGGATCTTTGGATCAAAGGGAGCTATGCACTGGAGAAAGAAAATGGAGGGTGGGGGTAGAATGCCTCCTTGAGCTTCTCTTGTTTGATACCCAGGCTGGTGCTTAACCCTGATTTAAATAACACAAGGTAAAATATAGTGTATTTTTTAAAAAAAGAATAGAAAAATTATATTAAGGAAGTAGTTACCAAAACCCTTTTTAGGTAAACAAAGAGGTTAAAAGAGAAGGGATAAAGCTAGGAGCACACAGGGGGCTGGCTTAGTGGAGCATACAACTCTTGATCTCGGGATTCTGCGATTGAACCCCACGTTGGGGGTAGAGATAACTCAAATAAATAAAAAATAAAATCTTAAAAAAAAGTACTGGGAGCACATAGACATTCCTTTGTGTGGAATATTCCAATTTGTGGAATTTATATGCTTTTAACTTATAAAAAGAAATGCGTAGGGGCACCTGGATGGCTCAGTCAATTGAGCATCTGACTCTTGGTTTCTGCTCAGGTTGTGATCTCCAGGTTGTGGGTTCCAGCCCCTTGTCGGGCTCCACGCTCAGCCGGGAGTCTGCTTGGGATTCTCTCCCTCTCTCTCTTCCCCTCTGCCCCCCCTCAAATAAATCAATAAATCTTTAAAAAAAAAAAGAAATATGTATTAAAATTTCTCTTGATAAATTTTCCCCCCACCTTTTGACCACATTCACCCATTTCCCCCACCCTTCACCCCCTTCTGGCAACTGCCAATCTGTCCTTTCTAAGTTTAGTTATTTTAGATTCCACATGTAAGTGAGGTCCTACAGTATTTGTCTGTGTGTGACTTACTTCACCTCACATAATGCTCTCAAGTTCCATCCATGTTGCTGCAAATGGCAGGATCTCCTTCCTTTTTATGGCTGAACAATATTCCATTATGTGTGTGCATGTCTATATATACCGTATTTTCTTTATCCATCCATCATCGGGCACTTAGGTTGTAATTTCCATGTCTTAACTGTTGTAAAGAATGATGCAGTGAATATGGGGGTGCCAGCATCACTGTGAGGTAGGGACTTTGCTTCCTTTGGATATATACCCAGAGGTGGGACTGCTGAATCACATGGCATTTGTATGTCTTTATTTATTTATTTATTTTTAAAGATTTTATTTATTCATTTGAGAGAGAGAGCATGAGAGCAGGGAGGGTCAGAGGGAGAAGCAGACTCCCCGCTGAGCAAGGAGCCCGATGTGGGGCTCGATCCCGGGACTCCAGGATCATGACCTGAGCTGAAGGCAGTCGCTTAACCAACTGAGCCACCCAGGCACCCTCTTTATTTATTTTAATTTATAAATGATTTATTGGATTTTTTCAGAAAAAACTAATTCTTTAAACTGAATAAGCTCTATACATACAAGTTCTCATTTTTCATTTAGCTTTGATTTACTTCTTAGAAGTTTTCATGTTTCTGACCAGCCACTGTCTTTTAAACCTCTTGGCATTTTTTTTCTGAGCTCCCCAAACATTATTCAGAAACTGGGTGGCTGCCCTTTTCCCTGGTAACCTCTTATTTTCAAGACATAGGAACTTATTTACAGTAGTTCTATTGATTCTGGAACCATATAAAGAATTCTCTCTAAAGGCTTTCATGCTTATTGCCTTGAATCTCTCAGATCTTGATCTTCTAGCCTTAGAGCCAAGTGGCTTTTATTCTGGCCCATAGACTCTACTTTTTGTACCTATTTCAGCTTTCTTGGAATCACTTCCTTTTTCACATTCATTTTTCTTCTGCTTTCTTCTTCTTTCAACTTTTTTGATGATGTCATTACATTAGTCTGTCCAACTGTAGTTAACTTCTCCGGAATGTAACCTGGAAGGAGTTTTCTTTGTTGGATGGACAGCTCGTCTTCTTCAAGAGTGCTTTATCCCCAACCTGCTGCTCCCCTTTGTGCTTCTTCCTGGGTGCTGGTCAGTCAGCTCCTCCCTGACAGGCGTTGCTGGGCTGCCGGACCAATAGGCAGTGCTCTGCCTTCTCCTCCCCACCCCCTCAACCCCACCTAGGCAAGACATTCCCCCTACACCTCCCCCCAGGTGGCACTCTGCCCCCTCCCGGTGGTGCTCTGCCTACCCCTCCCCAAGCTCCTCCTTCTCCCCTCCCCCAGGCATGCTGGCCCTCCTCCACCATCACTGATGCAGGGGTGTGGGAGGTACAAGGCTGGAGCTGCACCATGGCCCAGGCAGCATCAAACCGCCTCCATTTGTATGTCTTTGGGAAAATGTCTATTTAGTTCCTTTGTCCATTTTTTAATTGATTTTTTTTTTTCTTTTTGCTCTTGAGTGGTATAAGTTCTTTATATATTTTGGATATTAACCACTTTAAAGATACATGATTTGCAAATATTTTCTCCCATTCCATAGGTTTCCTTTTCATTTTGTTGATGGTTTTCTTTACTGTGCAGAAGCTTTCTAGTTCAATGGAGTCTCACTTCTTTATTTTTGTTTGTGTTACCTTTGCACTTGGTGTCAGATCCAAACAGTCAGAGCTGAGACCAGTGTCCAGGAGCTTATCCCCTCTGTTTTCTATCGAGGAGTTTTGTGGTCTTAGGTCTTACATTCAAGATCTAAACAAAAGATCTTACTTGACCTTACATTAAATCCTTTGAGCTGGTTTTTGTGCATAGTGTCAGCTTGTGGTCCAGTTTCAGTCTTTTGTCTGTAGCTGTCATGTTGTCCCAGCACCATTTGTTTAATGACTCACCTTTCCCCATTCTACATTCTTGGCTCCTTTGTCATTAATTAGTCGACCATATACACATGCTTTTATTTCTGGGCTCTCTATTCTGTTTCATTGATCTGTTTGTTTTTAGGCCAATACCATACCATTTTGATTAGTATAACTTTGTGATATAGTTGGAAATCGGGACACAGCATGACTCCAGCTTTGTTATTCTTTCTCAAGATTGTTTTGGCTGTTCAGGGTCTTTTGTGGTTCTATACAAACTTTAAGGATGTTTTTTCTACTTATGTAAAATATGCCATTAGAACGTTGATAAGAATTGATTGCAATGAATCTGTAGATAGCTTTAGGTAGTATGGACATTTAAACAATAATATTTCTTCCAATTAATGAGCATAGAATATCTTCTATTTATTTATGTCTTTTTCAGTTTTTAAAATTTTCAGTATTGAGAAATTTCAGTATTGGGGCACCTGGGTGGCTCAGTCAGTTAAGCATCCGACTCTTGATCTCAGCCCAGGTCTTGATCTCAGGGTCATGGGTTCAAGCCCTACATTGGGCTCCATGCTGGGTGTGGAGCCTACTAAAAAAAAAAAAAAGGAATTTTCACTTGTAACAGTTTTATGTAGTTCTCCATATCTTGTCTGAATATCAGGTAAGTACCAGGAGAGGTATCCATAAATTAAAAGAAATTAGGATAACTCTGGTAGAATCAGTCCAGTAATAGCTCTGTTTGAAACCTACCTCTTTCTTTTTGCATTCCCACTGTTTGGTAGTAAATACCCCCAAATTAGATGGGCCTGTTGAAAGTTAGTGAATGCACCATTTGCCTTTTCTTCCTTTTGTTCTAGGCTGATTTTGGTAGGATTGCAGAAGATGTGAGGAAGCTGAAAACAAGACCAGATGATGAAGAACTGAAAGAACTCTATGGGCTCTACAAACAATCTGTAGTTGGAGACATTAATATTGGTATTGTGTGTGTGTGTGTGCGCGCGCGTATGTGTATATATATTAAAATGTAATATATATTATTTATATGTTAGTATTTTTAAAATCATATATTTTTTAAAATACATTTCATCTGAACAATGTTTATAAAAGCATCAAGTAAAAAGTAAACTTGAAAATATAACTATCCTTCTTTTGGCAGAGTGTCCAGGAATGTTAGATTTAAAAGGCAAGGCTAAATGGGAAGCATGGAACCTCCAAAAAGGTTGTTAATTCTTAAATAAGTAAAATAAACTTTCTTAATTTACCAATACATCAGTCAGTGAGATAATCTGATTCTGTCTTTCTAGGGCGGTTGAAGGAAGATGCCATGAGTGCCTATATTTCTAAAGCAAAAGAGCTGATAGAAAAATATGGAATTTAAAGTTCATCTATGAGAAAGTTTTTCTTTTGAAGCCTTCATAATGGTATCATTTCTTAACATCTAAGGAAGAAATGCACTGTTAACTCTTTTCATGTCATGAGTATGTTTGCTGTTAACATGAATTGTAATCCTTAATTAGAGGTATGCTGAAACTATTTAATGAAATTTTACTTGCTAAAACCAGGGGATTTTTAAAAAAAGTATTGCTCTGGTGGTATGTCACAAAACATTAACAATTTTTTTTTTTTGGCTTATCTGTTTTCTACAGTGAGTTAGTATTATTGATATGATCAAAACAGTTTATTAAGAACCAATAACAAGGTTCTGCCTTTGTTACACTATGTAACTTTGGGATTCTCACTGGCTTGGGGCCTTGGAAATCATAAACATACCTGGTTCCAGTCCATACTCTGTAATTTTTTACTAGGTGACCTGAGACAAATTACTTAACCTTGCTAAGCCTCAACTATAGAGTAGAGGCAGAAAATCAGTCTCACAGCTTTGTAAGAATTGAATGATTCTTCAGATAAGAATTGATAATTGAGGTAACTCTAATTATCCTACCTTCAATTTAAAGCACACATTATATAAAACCTAACAAATAAATTAAAATTTTTAAAAATAAAGTTACGAGTCCATGACTATTCAAAGAAAGAAAAAGCCATCTTTTAATTATTTTTCTTTAAATTTTTACATTTAAGACAAAAAAATTAAATGTAGTATCTAGTGACAATAAAATGTACAACTACTGTGCCTCTTACATTCATTTTTATCAGATTAAAAATGCAGAGTCTGGAATATAATAGTGGCCTAATCCTCAGTCTTTCTTGCCGCACACAGGTTCCCTGAAAGAAGATAGTCTTGTTTTAGCACTTCTAAAATCTGTTGGAGATTGCATAGGATAAATATCTCAAAAAACAGTGTACTTCTATTCCCTGGATAAGGGTTTGGGTTTGGTATACTACGACCAAGGAGGGATAGATTGATTTCATGTGACTTTAAAAAAAAAATCTAGATAGACTAGATGAATTTCCAAGGAATTATTCTGAGTGAAAAAAAGCCAGTCCCAAAACGTTACGCAGGGTATGATTCCATTTACGTAACTTTCTTGAAATGGGAAAGTTACAGACATAGAGAACAGAATAGTGACTGCCACAGAGCACAGAAGAGGGAGGTAGGTGTGGCTTGAAAGAGCAGCAGGAGGGATCCTGTGTGGATGGAATGTTCTGTCCCTTGGCTGTATCACTGTGAACGGCTGGCTGTAACATTACACTGGAGTTTTGCACATGTTACCATTTGGGGGAACTGGGTAGTTCTGTATTATGTGAATCTACAGTTATCTCCAAATAAAAAGTTTCATGAAAAACGAATCTAGCTTGATTCCTATTCTGGAAAATTTTAGAACGTAAAGATGGTTCTCATCTCTACTAAGTCTTACCTGAAGATTGTCGGGAGTCTGCCATGATGAAGTCAACATCCAAATGCAAGAAAAGGGAGACGTCAGCAACGACAGGGCTGCTCCTTCCAATGGAGAGCTTGGAAGCTCTCAGAGCTCTTTCCATGTAGACTTCACCTCTACCAGGTGGAGAGGCAGGTGAGAAGGCCCACCCCAAGTCTGGCATTGGCTACACCATGTGATTCCCATTGTGGACCATATTAACTAAAAACTTTTCAAATGAATAATCACAAATCAAATTACTTTTGTGCCAATGCTTTCATAAGGGAGCCCTGGAAATGGTGTCACACCAAAGGGTAAAGCACAGCAGGTACTAAACATGTATCATAATTTGCTTCAGCCTATTTTTAGCCCAAGTTGATTGCATGAATTCTAACTCCTCCCACAATGAATTTTTCATATGATTTGCCCTTTGTTAGAAAGGAATGATAAATTCTGTAAAACGTGTCCTGTATGCATTTTGCTCAATCTTATTTATTAAGATTCTATGTATAGGATTTTAAAATCTTAACACAAACATGAACCTATCTTATGTGATCATAAACAAATAGATACTTTAAAATTTAACCTTAATATATATTGCTGTGTTAAGTACTTTAAGCCTTAAGGAAGATACATCAGTGACACCAAGTAGTGGAGTTTATTGTGGAGATCCCACGGAACATAGGAAATCAGCGCCAGGATTCCAAGAGACAAACACAGTTTGGGACTCACCAGAGATTGCAGGAGCCATGCAGCTCCAAGGGGGCGGTGCCCCTTCATTCCTATCGACCCGCGACTGTGAATCCCATTTGTAGTGTTCTGCCTTATTTGGACTCAGCGAATTTTCCCGACTTCTGCTTTTTCCCCTTTTAGCTCCTGTTTTTCCCAACTGTTCTGCTTTCTCCTTATGTCAACCCCAAACTGTCACAGAGCAAGGCTGAGGCATCCTGTCGGGCATGGCATTTGTGCTGGGCCGCTCCACACACCAGGGGCCAGACACCAGACTGGCTGTCCATGGGAGGACTCCCGTTGGCCCTAGTCAGTCATTGCCAGGGTCAGGGGACAGGAACAGCACCCACAGAGCCAGCGGGCCCTCAGTGTTGGAGAAGCCCGTGAGGAGGGGGCCTGGGCTTATGGGCATTGTGAGGACTTGCCCACTCAGTCGAGGCACTAATGATGGCTCAAGACTATCTTATTTTAATAAAGCAGTAGGTTATATTTTCTCATTAAATAGGATAACCCTAATTTCAAAAGATTGGATCAAGCTTTGAACCACCGTGTGCTGATGGAGCAGTTTGTTTTCTAGCATTTTCCCTGTCTCCCATTTCCACGGTTAAAATAAGGGAAAAAATGGGTAATTTACTAAGCAGAAGTTTTGTTGACAAACTTCCCACAGATAAGACTAAAATGAGATTCTGATAGGAAGATAAAGGACCCTGCCAGAAGTATTCTTTACCCCTTTGTCATCTTCTGTCTCTGGATCCATAAGCGTTCTGTGAAGAAATACATTTATGTGTCACACATCACCCTGGTAGTAGCAAATGAATAATTTCCCAACCTCTAAAAAAAAAAAAACTAATGAACTACTAAAAAATTAAAAAGAGTATCATATAATCACTTTGGACCCTCCTCAAACTGAAAGGAAAAATCTCTAAAAATAGGCAAGTATCAATAGTTCTAGACACATGGTTACGTAGTTCTTGATGAAGGTCTCATCAGAAATTTCCATAAGATAAAAGTGATTTCCTGGGAGTGCATGAACATTAAAACTTCCACCAGTTACATCTTTCCAGGCTAAAAATAAAATTACATTTAACAACAAATGATGCTTACCACCGCCAACAAAAAGATTTACTTCCAGATACTGCTTTTCTAAAGCTGACACCGGTGGTAGAATTACTTCTAAGGTCTCATGTTCTGTACGTCCTGTATTTTTAATTTCTCCAAGACCCATCAGGACACAACGGTCTTAGGTGCATTCTCTCACTTCCCACACGACTGACCTCTCTCCATTTACACTAAAACCTGGGCCAAATTTCCACTTGTTACAGTAACAGCTAGTCGATATTAGCTGAAAATCATCAAACAAATCTCTCAAAATACCCCGAACCATCAAAACAATTTCACCTTTGCTACATTTTTAGATCCAACAAAACATGTTGAATCGCAAGAAGGAACAGCCTCAGATGGCATATGAAAGCAGTAAACTGAAAAGAGCCGGTGAGTAACTTTCCATATGCAACATCTCAGAGCCTCTCCCGGTTAATAACTTCACTTAAAGGAAATGTGGTGCATCCTCACTGCTTTCCCTTTTGCTATTTCCAGCAATACAGACCTTTTTTTTTTACTAGTGGTACCTGCACCTGTCAGTACCTGTCTGAGACTCGCTGTGGGCCAGGTCATTTTCCGAGGTCATCTGACTTCTAGAACAATGCAGGTGGCAGCACAATGGCGCCTGGGCACCCAATTGCAACTCAGGGTGAGGCCGGTACCTTGCATTGTCATTCCCCAGGAACGACCTATTTCCCAGCTCTCCACGGTCAGCAGACGGTTGTCAGGGGCAGAGCAGAAGCAGGTTCTCGCAAGCAGGGCCCTGGGTTGGTTCCGCCCGGTTCTCAGTGGTCACAACAACAGAATTTAGCATTCACTGAGCTGGGTGCTGAGTGTTGGGTTCAACACTGGGACATGCGGATAAATAAACAATCTCATTACCTCTGTAACTTAGGGATTTGGCTGGGAGGCAACTAGAGACGCCAAGTGCTGCCAGGGTCAGGGTGATCTGTGAGCATGATGGTGGGGGTTGGGGGGCAAGCAAGGTCTCCCTGGGGAAATGGAGTGGGCTCAGATCCAAATGAATAGGGACAAGGCTGGCAAAGGCAGAGAGGCAGCAGGGGAAGGGGGACTAGAACGAGCACAGGCTAACAGCTACTGTTCAGAGAGCAAAGAGGGAATTGGGACAAATTAAAGTGGAGGGGTAGGCAGGGGTCACGTGTAGTCCTCCTAAGGGATTTTGGCCGTCCTAAGAGGGACAGGAAGCCACCAAAAGGATTGAAGGCGAGAAGTGTCATGACCAGACTTGACTTTTATCCCTCCGGATAGTGTGGGGGATGGAGTGGAGGGGGACAGAGCGTCTAAGAGGGGATTCCTGCTTCTGCCTGGGATGGAGGAATGCTACTCCGTCCCTACCAATGAGGGGAAAAAAAGCCCGACAAACTACAAAATCCTAACTTTCCTTGAATTTAGCTGAGTTTGCAAGACAAACTAGAAACCAAATGCCCAGGAGGGGCAGGCCCCTAAAGGGAGAAGTGGAATGTGTATGCTGGCTCATGGAGGCAAAGCACAGGGGGAAGGGGCGTGTGCTATACATTGCAGAAGAAATCAGCTAAAATGTTCAAGCGCTGGAGATCAAGTGAGGGGCAGTGTGTCGGATGGACTCACAGCAACTTGCAGCCTCCAGTAGGAGTTCACAAGAAAGACGGAGCGAGGCAGGGGGCCAGAAGGAGCCCCGTGTGGTCTGTGAAGGCCGGCAACAGGAAATAGGCTGTGACCTTGAGATGGGTCCTGACCCCGCCCCTGCCCAGGCCCTTCCCTCCCACAGGCAAAAGCCACAACTTGCTGGAGGAGATGTACCCAACCCTTTCACCCTAGGTGCCGGCAAAGACACACGGCTGCAGAGGGATGAAGCATTAACCTTCTACCCTCCAGGAAGGAGTGGAGAGAGGGCTTGGACCCACAAGGATACCAACACTACTTCTGGGAAGGGGCAGGGAACTTCCGCCCAAGACCAACCCCAGAAATGAGAAGGGGCAGGCACTGAGAAAGGTGCACCCACAAGGCCCAGGCATGAAGGGCCTGCCCAGGATCAAAGCTCACCCCTGTCTGGGACATCCAAGAACTCCCCATGGTACCCCAGAGGCTAACACGGACATCAGTGACCAGCAATAGCTGCCTGGCAGTGGGGCCTGTTCCGTGAGGCACTAGAAAGACTGGAAAATTGAGAAAATGCTCTAGCAGCCTGGACTCCATGCTGGGCGCACAGTGACACCAGGGACTTGGAGGCTGGTGTTGC